GACTATCAACACTGTAAGACTTTTACAACAAAGTCAGGTCTCAGGCGGTGCTCAGTAAATACAACATTTTTTATCAGACACATCTGGCATACACTTTAACAGCTAAGCGGAACGATATTCAAGCAAGAGTGAATGATGATACAAAAGTGGGGAGACTAAATTATGAAATCATAATACCTAACATTCTAAACATGTTTCACAATTGCAATCCTATTATGAACGATACTATATTTGTGCCTTGAACGTTATTCACAACTGCACTTATTGCGATATTAACATTTTACTGTGTAGGGACTTATTTGAATTCTCTAATAGTTATTTTTATTTTGCAACGAGCTTTTCCTTTAGTTTCTCATTTCTACCTAAGTTTTCTTACCTACTATGATTTTTCAAGATTACGTTTTATGTAACTGAGGTAGAAACAAATATTTAAGTTGAAGTCTAAATCGCTTCACTAGATAAGCCTAGTACAACGTATTCTGCCTTCCAGTCGCACTGTTGCGAAAAGTCTATCTTACTGCAATTCGGTAGCATTGTTACGTGCCTGTGGGTGATCTTAAATAAGGGCCAACTCTGTTAGTTAATTCTGTGCAGCTTCGGCTGGTTTTACTTTAGCTAGATTAGTTATTTTCTATGTTGAGTTAAAGCTTAAGTAGAGGGCTTATTGTAAGCCCGAGAGATGTTATCCGATCATCTATTCTGAATCGGAATTAAAGGTAAATTAACCTTTCCTTGGACTTGTCATTCGCTTACAAGAACTCTGCGATAAGTCGCTACACAGTTATTAAATATTCTAGCCCTCAAGAACTTCCAAATTAACTAGGATATTACGAATGTTAAGAAAAGCACGGTGTTTTTATGTCACTCACTTTATAAAACTTTTGATAAAAATCTTCAAGGGACACTATGTATCAAGAGAGTGTAAAAATATCTTGCACTGAAAGCGGTTTACAACATGTTTATATTTTACTTATTATAAATAAATATTTTTATATATAAAATATTATAAAAATTTTGCATTAAAGCACTCACTGAAATTGGCCTTGCTATTCATTATCCAGAAGGTTTTTCATCATTTCAGTTTATTCCATACAAACGATCAAATTTCTGATGTATCTAGACATATCGAGAAAGAGCCTCAGACTTCTTATAACTTCATTATTTAACCTTTCATCAGAAGAAAACGTTGTGTCGAAAGAAAGTCTGAATAGCCAAAATTAACTGTATGTATTTCCTGGTGTCTTACTGTAGATCTTCCTCATATTATTTGCAAATGAGGTAACAAGATCATATAGAAAACATTCTGGAAATCAATTTTGGAAAAGCTCGACTTTTATATATAGCATTGTTATAGGTATTTTTACATAAAATCGGACTTTCTCTGAAGTAACATACCAGATTTTTTCCATATTTTCATTCTACGACTCAAATTATGCCTGGATATAAAATTTTATAATTTTTGGTGAGAAATTTAAAAATTCATCTTGTGAATATTTTTCAGTTTGCTCTAAGAATAATTCACTTGGCGAACTTCTTAATATACGGCAACCTTTCCCTTCCATTGTGCAGGATCGGGAAAAAAGTTACATCATTCCTACTTTCAGATAATTTTAACAAAGTGACTAAACCACTAGACTAGACCACTTTTCTATGTATTCCTTTCTCTTGATGAGGAGAGACCTTTAGCTGCCCTCGAAATCGGTTGTTTCAATATACTTACGCTAAATACAAGGTTGCTTTTACGATTTTGATTGCCTAAACCACATTTGATGTTATTATCGGTTTCAATAAATATGCCAAAATTTAAAACTTGCCAATATATAAATTCACGTACATCTTCGGAACTTTTGAATAAAAAACTGTAACAATTTGCTGGTATACTAAGAAATACATCTACGATCAGATTTCAGTAAATGATGGTAAAAATTTAATAGATTATAATTCAAAATGTTTTCCAAAAAGTTATAAATACTATTTATAAACACAAATTTAAAAAATAAATCATAAAAAATGGGTGAATTTTATTTGAAATGAACCTAATATTGGAAATGTAAAGGAAGAGTCAAATAAGTTTAATAAAAAATGAGATATTAATAAATATATGCCAAACTCAAATAACATTGAGGAGCTAAAATTTTGAGAGCTAATTTTTTAAAAACTACTCATTCGATTTTTACAAAACTTCGCAGTGTGACGTAGTTTGTGTCGTAGAATTGAAATATGGAAAAAACTTGGCATGTCATTTCAGATTCCAAAAATTTGTCAAAATACCTATATTAATACAATGCTATATATAAATCTAATATATATCCTAAATCGTGCTTTCGAGACATGAAAAACGCAAGTTGAATTTCGTCAATCGGCCCACTAGAATGGGAGATATAGAACTATCCCCCTTCTTTTTTTGCAGTGTACATGGCGTTACATATAATGCATTCGAAGGTGGATGATGTAGATTTATAATTACGGAACGTGTTGCGATATAGCAGAAAACTAAGAGAGGAAAGAAATATCTAGTTAAAATATATAATTGATATGTAATTTAATAAATGCCTAGTTAATTAATATTTCAACTTCATTCATGTTGATTAATTTAAATTCAATTTACAAACTGTATTATTATTATTGTTGAGCATTTTGTAAGTACCTATGTCATTTGCGCTGTATTAGAATTATCTTACGAGGATAAATTTTGAAATGATACAGTTTGAAGCGATTTATTATATGCATGCAACTATTTTAGAGCAAAAAGGGGAAAATAACTAGGGATACACTAATTATTTCCTTTTTCTGCTAAGTGTTAATATTTTCGGATTAGCTACGTTGGGATCATCCAATTATATGATGTATCAAACAAGTATTAAAGCTATCAGTGTAATATTTCCAGTCTTAAATATTTAATAGTCTATTACATTTATCTTCGTTTACAGGAGTTATTTTATTTAAAAAGAAATTTCTATTTTATTTTCTCATTTATTGCTTTTATAATGCCCTATATTCTACAAATTTTAAATAAAATATTTAAAAAATTATACTTACATTTTAACTACTTTTTAGTTTATGTGTTCGAATTAATTATTAACGCATTTAGTACATAGTAGAATCTCTTTTAACGTTTCAGGAAAGGGACCGCGCCGATACAAGATATTTATCCGGATAAAAAACATGTATTTCTAAAACAATTTTTGTGTTTCGTGAAAACATATGTAGAAACTGCAGCATGCGAAGTTTATGCTTCAGACACTTATCCTTTGCATTTTATATTTTAGAAACTTATACTTTCCATTTTATACGTCAAAAAACAAAATTAAAAAGCATTTTGAAATTAATATTTATTAGTACATGAAATTTACGAATTTCTTAACACGAGGGCATATAATTTTGAATGCTTGCCCGATGTAAAATAGTCCTCGCACTTTTAAATATTTGCTCTATATGCAATGAAACTTTATAACATCATGTAGTGGCAATGAAGAACATTTATCAGCAAACCTTATGAAAGTCTGCAATCCTTTGTGAGCTTCTACGCAGATAACTTTCCTGTTCTACATGTTATCTCTAACTTTAGTCTCCCCCTCTTCCTAATGCTCTTTCTTCTTTCCCAGTACATGTTGGATTATTTCGTCATCACCCGGAGAGAGTGAGACGAGAACAAAATTGTCTACACCCACCCAATCCTCCTCTTTACTAATGGTGTTCTTCTCCGAACATATAATTAATACAAGATGCCGGACATGGGCACCGGGTATGTTTTAAAATCGAGAGTCTTTGTCATTCAAATTTTTTATCTACGAACATAATCATTGACTTTAATTAACACTAACAGCGACGAAAATTAATGTTCTGACCGGCTTTGCAGGAAATAGCCAAAGCAAACCTGTCATTTTTCAACGTGAATTTTTTCCGAAAGTTATTGACCTTATCCTCAACGTTAACACATTGACGCATAAAAAGGATAGGTAGTCCATCTCTATATTCTGGATAACTCATTAGTCAGATAATGCTTGTTATTTTAGATTACAGAAATATAACACAAACGTTTTCCATATTTAAATATTCAGTTTGTTATCCCATTACGCATTTTTTTATCTCATAGGAGTAAATTTTGATTTTCTAAAGAGTTATTATTTTGATATTTCCGGTCACGAGAGTTTTTACTGCATATGGTAAGGGTTGTATAATTGATATGTTTGAGAGCCGCGAGTGTATGAAACCACAGAATAGTTATAATAGTTTAGGAAAAATAGTAAATGCTGAAAATGTAATGTACTATAACCATAATTTCAAAAAAAAAAAATATACATCGCCTTAATTTAAAACCTATTCTCACTGAACTAAACTATAAATAAAATATTAAAAATCTCTTTTAATAAAACAGTGTAACTTTACACTTCTGGAAAATTGTAAACAAATGATGTGTCATGAGGTGGTGATTTGAAAACGAATGTAGGATTCTAGATGCGTTATATCTCATATTACGTATAATGCTATGACTTGATGCGCTTTTCTCACACTTACTAAACACAGCATTATTACCAACCTTAAATTAAAAAACTTATATTTATTGCAAATAAAATGAAAATGGGTTAATTTCAGAGAGAGTATTTTTTAAATTACATGGCAAACCAGAAAATACTATATTGAGTAGTTATGGTCAACAATAGTATCTCTATTTTTGAAATCCTTATTTGATCAACACATATGCCTGTTTGAAAAATGGCAAAATTCTGAACATAAAGAATCATTGTCATTCATACAATGAATTAAAATATTTAGTCTATCAATGCTATCTGGTCTATTTAAGCAACGTTTACTATGAGCATTAAATATTGGATCCACGGAAAATTACATATACTGATACAGATATTTAAATGAATTATGTAATATTGTGCTAAAGGTATTTTAGGTATTTATGATTGAAAACAACTAATAACTAAACGAGATTAACATTATCATTAAAACGCCTTAGTTTATGATAAGTAATAATCTTAAAAACTAACCTGCTGTTCAGTCCCAACGATAGCTGCATAGATCAACGCTGGTATTCCTACAGGGAATATAAATTAGTAATTCATAACTACATAATAATTATACTTGACTAACTATAGTTCTACATATATAAAATTACAGTGGCTCACAATTGATTTTGAATATTTATGTATTTAAGTTTTATTTTCAAATATTAGCAAAATGGCTTTTTCAAAACGTTTTGAAAAGGAACTTGCATAAATATTCTAACACTACGAATAAGCCATTTATATTTAATAAAACCAAGAAAATAAGGGGACATCTAATACTTCGTAAAATATCCTTTAATTAAAATTACACTTTTCGTGCACTTTGGCATGGATTTAACTAATAATTTTGAGTAAGAATGCTTCATTTTGTTCCATTCCTCCATAAAAATTGCCTTTGATAGAAATCTTGAAGAAATGCCATATTTACTTATTCTCTTCTCCAACTTAATTGATTCATAAAAATGATTAATGGAGTAAATAAAGCTTTCAAGGTTTTTCAATAAAAATGATTCATGGAGAAAATAAAGCTTTCAAGTTTTTTCAATAAAAATGATTCATGGAGTAAATAAAGCTTTCAAGCTTTTCCAATAAAATGATTCATGGAGTAAATAAAGCTGGCTCTTTATTTACTCCATGAATCATTTTTAATCCATAAAAGGTGCTCGTTTTCTTAAAAAAATCTGATGTGAACAAACACCACATGACTTTCTTGTATGGCCTCTTAAATTATATACATTTTTACTGCACTTATTTATTTCCTCGAATTATTCTAATTCTGTTAACCAATATCTCAAGGCAAGTTGAAAATGTCATAAAAAATTACAAATTTCGAAGTTTAATATCTCTGCCAATTTTTGTCGTACCGAACTCAAACTTCTTCTTCGAAGTTTCTAATAATCGTCTTCTTCTAATTTCATTTTTAATGAGCGTAAAACTTTTCCAAATATACGTATAGGAACTGGGAAACCGCATTAAAAGTTAGATTTTAGTATTTGTCGAACATTAATTCTTTTGAAATTTGACATCTCTAAAACTTGAATATTTTCGCCATTTAAAACACTTCTATGATTGGAAATATGTGACTTCTACCAATGTTTCCGAAAATAAAGGTCTAGTAAGGACTTTTAAGACTGGTAAGGGGATGGTTGTATTATAGGTATAATATATATATATATATATATATATATATATATGGATGTATTATAGGTGTATATATGTAATGTTTTCAGTTATTCCAACACATCGTGGGCGAATAATGAGGCTATTCCATTACACGTTCTGGCAGATGGTTGACGAAGCTATAATGATTGAAGCATGGAGAAAAATGACGACTCAGGACGTTTCACTTTTAACAGCAAGCATATCTTTATTTTAATTTAGAGCAGATGACTTTTTCCAGATGGAGTTAATCAAATAGCTTATTCAGTAATTGAACTATTACACACGACTGACTTTAAACTTTAATCTGTCATAACGTTCTAACAAAGTTAGAGGAGCATTGCGGAAGCGTTAGCAGAACGAAGGCGAGAAGGCATCTGTGTAGGAGAACTTATGACGCAGCATTTATATGAAAGGTTATGTAACAGAGTAGCTTCTAGAAAAATGTAGAAAAACTTATGACGCAGCATTTATATGAGGAGGTTATGTAATAGGTGCGAATGTTCTAGAAGGTAATGGTCTAAGGGGAGATGCTGAATTGCAGAAAATTAATTAAAGGTTGCTGGTTCGCAAAGAGCAAAGCCCTCGTATTTTTTTTTTTTTTTACATATATATGTATTCTGTTATATATATGTTATTGCCGATTGCAATAACAAATACACAGCCAAATGTTATAGCAGTCCCATATGCAAAATTTCAACGTTCTACGGCTCATTCCTTTCTAGTTATGCGAGAAACATACATACATTCGCACGTACGCACATACAGGGGTCACGAAAAAAATCCCTTTGGAATCCGTTTTAAATCCATTTCGCAGTCTGTTTTGGATAAACGCGTCGTTTATTCTATCTGTATGTACAAATGTCAAGCACAAAAATCGTCTAAATGGATTCGGAAATAGTCAAAACGGATATTTCCATTGCAATAGGATTCCTGAAATTTTTCGCAGTAACAATACTCTCTATTTCGTATAAGGAAGTAAAAAATAAAACAACATAAATTCTAACAAATTTGCTAAAATTATTTCACATTTCGCACTATGAAAGGAATGTTAATTTTAAAATTTGCAACGTATGAACAGTTTTTTATTTTTTTGTTCTATAAGAAAATTATTGAGCAAAACTTGTTTCCTCGTTTAATTTTTCATAGTCAGATACAAATATTGCTATACAACTAACTTCTTTTCAAAAATTTAAGAGAAAAGACATCTCGACTATATAATTAAGATATAAGGGATGATTCCCCTATTTATTTTAGTAAAAAATGCACATATAATAAATATAATAATCGCTGCCCCATTTTACAACCGAATACGGGATCCAGAGCTCCAGTTCTCCATTTCGGTTGATGCTTCAGTTTCGTTGATGAGTCACAGTTTGAGTTAAACATACTGGTAGCAGATAGGCTAAGACCTCTGTAGTACTATAGGCGACTGAGGTATCGCTGTACCTAGCTAACTGTTAAGCTTCCGCCGAATTACAAGAAAGCACACCTCATTAAACGGGCCGAGGTCTCCCAACCCACTTTCCCTACCACAATCTTGAGAGGCTTTCGGCTCACCGTGCTTTTTGAGCACCGCCTTGTGGCACATACAGTATACGCTTGCAAAGATCCATTCCCTCTACGGTGTACAGACTCGGGACCTTCGGTACAACACTCAGCGTCACTAACCGCTATCCCGTCTATGCGGCATTACCGAGTTACAGCATCTGTTGTAGCTAAATATTTAGTTTTAGCACTTTTTTAAAAAGAATTAATTTTATTGTTTTTTTAATTATAATAGAAATGTTCATTATAACATCATTGTTCAACATCGTAGGAAAAATATTCGTTCTGTTTTACGAGTATTTTATAAAAACAAAAGTATTTAATATTTCAGGTATGTGATCTTTGTCGAAATAAAAAAAAATATTTGAAACTCATATTTTCTTATATTGCAATAAATATGTATTTGACCAATAAAGGAAATTATTCGTATCGGCAATGTTTCAGATTGGAGTATAAACTGAGCTAATTTTATGAATTTGGCACCGAAAATGTTTAAATGGAAGCGTTTGTGAACCAATGATATTTTTTCGAGAAGATCACAGTGACCCTATGGCATATGATAAACTAATTATGCCTCCGAAAAATAAATGTTGGAGAGGCTAATGCAAGAAGAGTCAGCGTAAATTGCATGAATTTGCAGGATTAAATTCTCAACAGTTTCTATAGAACTTTTTTTTACAAGAGTGAAAATTGAAAATCCCATCTTCATTCCTACAGCTGAAGAAGGAGATTCTATTGAAAAGCTTCGAAAGTTGTCGTAAATTTATGCATGGTAGGTTGATTCTTGTTGCTTTAATATCTCTAATATATGGTTAATTGTTATCTTGATCCATGTTAATTGCTGTATATTTAACTTCATTCAAACTAAAATCAGTATTAATTAATAGATAATTTAAATGATTTAGTTCTTTTTATCTTTTTGTTGAACAGGTCAATTGATAATGGGGTTTTTAATCTTACCGCGTTCGTTTTATTTAAGCTTACGTTTATTCCAATTTAAAGTGTTTAAAAATATTTTTTAACTTTATACTGAAATTTTAGCTTTAAAATATAGTTTTGAAAGCGGTTTTCGTTTCTTCTATAGCAATTTAAACGATAACTGATTCTTAAATTATGTAGAGTTTAAAAAAAAGATAATAAAATCGTTTTAAGATGCATAAGCTAGAAATATCTGTGATCTTACCTAGAAGGAAAAAAATGGCCATGCATTTTAGTAAATCAGAATCGAGTTTGATTTTTACAGGTTTTGGAAAAAGAATGGCTCTAACGAGTTCACCTTTCACAGTAGAAAATCCTGAAATAAAGTACACAGTAAAATTATTAATGTTAGATAGTAAAAGTTTTATTAGAGGTATGTTTTAAGGACAATATATAACAACAACTTAAAACACGTTCCTTACAAATCGTTTACTGGTACGTTTCTAAAAGTATATAATATTCAACTATTCTGGAGAGAAAAGTCATTGCTACGTTTCAAAATGACGTACTTTTAACAATTACTACAGTTTCTGGCTACTGCAGCCATCTTACTTTAAAATGAAAAGCAATTTTCATTTTAAAGCTTACATTAGCTATTAGTTTTTTTAATGTAAGTAATGTAAGTCATTAGTTTTTTTAATGTAAATGAGTCTTTTCATTTGAAAATAATGGAGGAAGAAGGTTTTTTATTAGTTATGTAATTTATTAGCGGACATGAATCAGTCCATTTAATTAAAAAGGGATCAAAAGTAATTTCTTCCGTAATTTCTTTAATAATTGCAGCAAGCATATACTGTGCTTTTAAAAATGCTTCTAGCCTACCAGCAGTCGAGCGGCTAAGAGGGCTCAACGCAGGTTATTTGGTACGGACTCTCGAAAAACTTTATGGTTTACAAAAATAAATTCAGCCTTAACTATTAATGCTCCCTGATTTATAAAAAAATTTCAGATTTATTTTAAACTTGCAATCATCATCAAAAACGATTTTATTCTTTTAGGCCTTCCATCTAGTCTTTCAAAAACTTCAAAATTTAAAGCAAGCTGAAATTTAAATATTAAGAAAGCTCAGGCAATTACGTTTTATTTTTCAAAAGACCAGTATTAGCTATTTTCCCTCTTTTTCTGCAACCGTGTCCATGTGTCACTCTTATTATTCTGTGTGACAGATAGCTGCTAATTATTCGAATGACTTATAACTCCCAGGCGGTCCAGTATATCTGGCCACCAAAGGACGTAAAAAGCCCTTTTGATGTCAAGAGAGATCATAGCCATTTACTTGTCCCTTGCAAGATTGCTGTTTCTCATTGTCTCAAGGTTGTACAGCACATGATCTACTGAGAGTCTTTCTTTAAAGCCAAATTATTGAAGGTGGTTTTGTCTAGCAGCTCTATAGAGATCATGTTGCAGTCTTCGTAGGATAAGGCTCTCAAGTAACTTTCGTAAGAACGGCAAGAAGCAGTTCGGTTGCATAAGGAAGGCAGTATCTTTAGAAGGCTTTATTTGAAAAACAGGACTACTTCATAATCCTTTAACACAGTTGGATAATATCCTACTATTTCTCAGCGACGTTTGGGGAAGCAAATCAAAACTTCAGGGAACTGCTTGAAACATTTGTATTGTTACGTTTTTTTCTTCTGACACCAATTGTTACGTTATTTTCTTCCTTCACGTTCGTACGGGGTTCGTAGATTTGGAGTGAATAACGACGTCACTTGATGAAGTATCGAAACACACTTTATTTAGCAATATTAATCAGGACAGCCTCCAAAACATTTTTACAGTCGTCGAAGATCTACTATAAACACGCTGGAACAATCAGCGGCACAGCCTTCACACTGTCAGGCAATAACGGTGGAGACAGCTTCACTGCAAAGCACCAGAGTACAGCTCCCGACTCTTCGAGGAACTCCACGTACTCTCGAGACTTTCCACGCTACAACTCGCGATGCACTCGACGACACACAGAGCACGGCTCCCGACTCTCCGCTTCAGTCCTTACCGGAGCTCAACACGTTCTCTCGGCGATGCACTAACCGCGATACACTAAGAGACTCTTCGATGCACTCACCGACCAACTCGGCGCTAGACTTCGAGACACTCGCTCAATGACTGACTATCAACTCCCTAGACGAGGCACACTACTGACTACTGACTGCGAACACACTACTGACTGCGAACCAGCAGGGTTTATATAGCTTTTGATTGGTGTTCGAGAACATTCTGGGCTAAACCGGTAGGAATTCGTTCCAGAAGGTTCTCCATCCGTCCATGGCATATCGCCAATTTTGTCGCCAAAGGTCGCCAAAAGGGCGATTTCTCGCCAAATGTGGCAACTCTGCTTTCCCTTGCCATTTTATGGCAACCCCAAAACTGCTTTGCGTGGAAGCCATCTTACCGCGCCTGTACATTTCGTAACAGTATTATGATGGTGCTATCCAGTCCGTCTGGTCCTGGAGCCTTATTGCAATTCAGCATTTTTTATTAGATTAGCGACTTCCCAGTGAGAAAACGACTTGCTCGAGAAAATGTTTTAGGTTATCTAGGCTGGATATAATGTGTTTTGCTTATTCCTTAACGCATAATTGAAAAGTGCACATCTAAATCGCCACTGAAGGAGGGTTTTCAAAAATGGGCCAATGAGTTTCTATTACTGTTGTGACGCTGAATACTTGAAATTGTGCATGAGCGCATGTTGGTGTTTACGTTTTATTTTGCATTTGTTTTGCAGTTATAAATGTATGGCGTATAAATGATGCTATCATTTTAGTAGAAAATCTCGTAGTGCTTTCATTTTATAAGTTCATTTAATCGTCAACATTTTATTTTTCGTGAAACGTATCACACACTGATATTAGAATTAATGTTTGTGGCATATTATTGCTCTTTATATCGAGAAAATGACTCAAGCTACAATTAGCCTCGAATATTACGCATTTATAATCCTGTGGATTAAGAGAATTCAAATATATGTATTTTTATTTAACTAAGAATAAATGGAAGTATTAAAATGAATCTAGTATTTTCTTATCTTTTTATCTTAGTGCTTGCATGCCTATAATTTTGAAAGTTAAGATCCAAAACATATATTTTGAATTATCTGATTATACTTTTAAAAGTTATATATGAATAAAGGAAATATATTCGTTTTGGATAAGATAAATATGTTCAGTTTGAAGAGTATTTATTACACAAACAGTATATTTAAGAATGGACCGACCGTTTTTAATGTGAAATTTAGTACACTAAATATGTAGGAATGCAAATTAGGAAAGTTGACTTTGAATAAAACTCGCATTGGCTATTATTATATGCTATACATTAGATATCATTATCTTTTTCATATAGACTGAAATAAAAATGCTATGACTTCTACTGTTTACATATATAATTATGCTTTTATTTGATCTAAATTCGCAATGAAATTTTTAACAAGAAATCCACGATTTTTAATTATTTTATACAGAAAATTACTTGCTCCATTTTAGAAGCCACTCCCTCGTTGGCGATACAGATGTGCACTTGCAAAATATTCTTCCTTAACAGCTGTATGACAAAGAGTATCCTTATCCATAATATCGTTTGGGAACAGATTCTCAAAAATGATTGAATATCCGTTCAGTTGTTATAAACTGATTGATGACAAAATATATTCTCAATACACGTAAATTAGGTGCCCGTGTCCCTCTGCATCAAACCTCGAGGTAATTATGTCTTCCAAAGGCAAACGCCAGCGAACCAGCTACTAAAAATCCGCTAAAGGGTTTTAGCATAGTTTATAGCTAGAATGAATTTCTTTGACAACCTCTGTCTGCTTTTATGACAATTAATTAAACTGCATTCTAATTTTATTGAGAGAAAATTTTCATGATTCTTCGTTCTAAATCGAAGAAACATGAACAAGTAACTGCGATATAAAACACTGCGTTTTCATGATTCCTGTACAAACTAATTCTGTTACTAACTGTAACTATGGGCAGCATATTTCATTGTAGAATAATATACTGAAAAGTTAATCAATATAAATTATTGTTTTTTATAAAGAAGTTTTTAAAGATTCTTAACAGTACATGTACCACGACTTGTTATATTTTATATCAGCAAATATAATGCGCAAATGTCCGTTTTCGTATCAGTTTAATTTTTGGCCTTAACATTCATCGGCCGCACACAATCGAGAATCTTTAAAGCTTGCATAGGTAAATGCAAAAATTCGGACTAATCCGCCCTTCTGAGGATTTTTTGCGGTAACATAAGGTATACAGAGTTGAAATTACAAGCAAAGGTAGGCGATTGAAGAATAAACGATACAAACGGTACTTCATTCCATATATTAAGTTCCGTCTCGTACCTTTACACCATTAATATGTAATGTCTCAATATATCCCAATTATAGGTATGAGAACGAAAATACCTGTTCGGTAGACCACTGCTTTTACACCCCTTCCATCTGTATCTCTGGAATGAAGGACATCTGTACCACATGATAAAAGCGATTTCTTGCAAGTCATAGAACTGTATTCTGCCCTGGTATCATTTTCAATTGGCACTTTGGATACTGGTTCACATTCTCCTGCAATAAATTATACTTTAGTACACGATGAAACTTTTAAATTGACAATATTAATGAAATTAAGAAAGAGAAAAATTGATTCAACTTTTTTTTCCAGTGGCGAGCACAAGTCATCATAGACGTTGGCCACTACTAAAGCCAAAAGTGGTGGTCACTTTATCATGGAGGCACCTAGGTTATATCAATGCTGATACCTGAAAAATGTGCAATGCCCTTGCCAGGATTCAAACTTTGGATCTCCCGAATACGCGTCGAACGTACTCCCAGTTACACCCCGAAGGCATGCCAAACAAGAGAGAACATACCTTATACCCTTAAAATAATCTCTACAAAGATGCCCCTTCTCTTAGGGAAATAATCCTCATTATCTTTTCCAAAATCCAACTAAAACAAATCACACTTAATGTGGATACAATGGCAGGCTAATTAGTAAAAAGTGTTTTGTGAGTGATTAATGGGTAAGAAATTACCACATTTTTCCATGTGTGCTTTTGAGGTATAATAATAGTGGTTAGATCATTTATCTGGATGTTCTTATTATCTATGTAGAGTCTCATAATGTATCTAAGATCGTACCTCATATTTTAATATTAATTTTCTGATGCATTTGAGACGCTATTCACATAAAAATTAATTCCTGTTTCGGTAATATGAAGAAAACTACCCTTTTCTCGACTGATATGCCAAATAAAATTCTACGGCTAGTGAAGAAATCAATATTTTCTGTATAAAAGCCATTATGCTTTAATGAGTCTATTATTTTCTTAAAATATTAAAAATATTCATTGTTTTAAATATCACACAGATTTTAGAAAATAATAGTGCGATCGAGTTTTTAATACTACGATTGTGAACACAATTTTGATATCTATGAATGTCATAATTTTCGTCTCAAGGATACAGTAAACAGTCTCATATGTTTAATAGTAATACAGTAAGAACATAATATTTCTACTTCAATATCTGTTTTTATTTGAACAATATGGTAATTGTTTTCTTCATGAGCTAAAGCGGCGACTAATCAGGATAAAGATTCATTAAAAATATAGTACTTCAGAACAAGTATGGATATATTTTTCATAATTTATTTTGTATGCAAAGGCTTTATTTAGAAGCTTTTTGAACGTCACCGACGTAGAAATTATTACTCATTACAGAATAAAATCTTTCAAAGTATTTAGGAATTCTCATTTTTTAGCTATACTTCTTTTATTTGTTGCATTATAATGTGCATATGTGACCTCGTGCTGATCTTCTATAAAAATATTCTGCGTCTTTGAAACCCTGACATATTACCCTACATTTTGTAATATTATTCAGTTTGGCATTAATTGTCTCCTAATGATTCTGTAAATGAGGTTAAAGCTTGTTCTAGATTTGTTGCTTCTAAGTGTGCCATACAAGATTATTACCTTTACATTATTTGGAATTCCGCTTATATGAGTGATCACGTAAGCATCAAATAGTTTCACCTTAAATTGGATGTTGCAGTTAGCATATATGAATGAGAAAACTGCACGAGGAAATGTTTTCATATTTAATCATTTTTCTTCATTTATAGATTCATTTTAAGCTTCAACTATTATTTTTATAACTCACAAACATTTACAAATTTATAATTTTTTAAGCTTATAACTAATTATAATGTTGTATATGAATATTTAAAACTTTTATATTTCACATGTAGAGGCTTTTAGGATTTTTTCGAAGTCCAGAATCCGCAATGCTGTCGCCGGGATTAGAACTGCAGACCTCCCAAATACGCGTCGAGCGAGCTTCCAGTTACACCACGATGGTATGCAGAAAGTACCTTACACACAAATTTTCATTCTTTTCGTCTTATTGCAATATAACGTAGCTTAATTGTTTTGCAATGATCGTTTCCCTACACATATCGTGCGCCATCTTTGTCCACTTCTCCCCCCAGTGAAGTTCTATAGTATTTTTTCCCCCAAAGGCGGGCACTTGGCTCTAACGACATTGGCCACTACTTTTAAGGCCAGAAGTAGTGGCCATTTTACTGTCGAGACACCTAATAGGCAGCCACTGCTACCTTCTATGAAAGGACAGACACTTTTACAACGATGCCTACTCCAGGTTTCGAACCCGGGTTCTTTGGTATCGCAGTCAGGCTCCCCTAACCACTATACTGACCGGACAGTAGTTCTAATAATGTTATCCATCCCTTAATACACCTTTCCTGTAGCTATTGTTTTGCACATAAATCATGTGTAAATCATACTCCAAACAAAGAATTTAAGACAGAGACAATCTGAAGTGGAATATAAAGCAAAATGGCAATATTTTCTTTGGATTAGAAATGCAGTAACGCAGTAACTACAGTGATGCAGTAAAGCTGGCCCTCAGCTTCGCGTCCAAACTTCGCTTCACTGCAACATTAATAAGTTTATTTCGGTCAGATTTCATTAATCTATCCTTGTTATTCTAAAGAATATGGAAGAAAAGTAAAAATAAGCAGTAGTTGGTAACGAGTTCCACCGAGACATAATGAAGCTTTACAAAATAACTGACATGTCTGACTGTGGGGTAAGAGTTAGCTATGCAGGGCCCGTAGGATCTAAAATTTAGAGTTTTGAAATGAAGAAAAGTCTTCCAAGAAACATAATGCAATTTTTTTTGTTAAAAAGTAGTTTTTAACATAATGTATTCATAATTAAGTAAAATAGCATACTTATTTTAGCATAGAAATTATCTATTTTGAAGACGATCAGACACAGGTCCCTCTTCTTCCTTCCAGTCCCTTCAAGAAAAAAGGGAATTCTGCAAAACTGTAGAGCAGCGACGACTGTATTTTTATCGAAAACAAGTATCACGACAGAGCGAAGACGAACCTAGTACTAGCTGTCGAGGAAAATAGCAATAAAATTGAAATATTAAGGTATTAGAATTCTAAAAGCGTTAGAAAGGATTGGATTGGAGTTAGTATTATTAACTGAACAAGATATATTTCTGAGAAATGCTTCAAATCCAATTCACCAGCTGAAGAAGCTTTATGGAAAATTATCACAGCACAAAAATCGCATTATAATTATCTCAAAGCTCAAAATTGTGATTATGTTTCTAACTATGATTAGGCTATGGAAGATTTGTTTATTCTTCCTTTTCGGACATCCAATTTGTGTTCCTTGACTCGAAATTTTAAATCTTTTTTAGTTTGGGTAATATATCCCAAGTTATACTGAAAAGATATACTAGAACTTTCAATCTTTTAGTTTTTAATAAAATCAAGGAAAGAATGCAATTATCAGATTTAATTCCAAAACTGGACTAGATGGCAGGTTCAATCGACTTCATAACGGACAAAATCTGGGTTAAACATTTTTATTATCCTAAAAAAGTGCTAATGTGTCTCTACATAACGAACACAGAGCACAAAGAATAGTTTAACAAATAATTTGACAGTCGCCCGAGTTTCGTTGAAAATCTATGCCAAAATTAAGTTGCCGTTTTGATTTTTTTTAGTCTTACAATGGCTTCTTTCTCTTTCAGTTTGATAATGTATTCATGTCGTAAGTGATAAATATTATTTATTTACAATATAGGCTATTTTACAGGCTTCATCATTTTCCTGTTTTCATTATTTTTTCTCTTTGTGCCCCTAAATAACAATAGAAAGAGATCCTATTGTATACGTTTTAGAATCTTCTTTTCAATAAAATAAATTCAGAAATTAAACATACCAGTCAGCATACTTTCATTCATTACGCAAGTCCCAGTCAGTAATACAGCGTCGCATACCATAGTGAAGTGAGATTTCGGAATTATAATCACATCGCCTGGAACTAGGTCTTCAGAGGATATCTGTAATTCTGTTTAGTAGATATTGGCAAACATTTACAAAAAGTATATTCATTTTATCAAGAATTAATAATAACAATACTACGCAAGTGAAGAAAAAACTAACTTCATGAGATTGAATAATGGATATAGTGAGGCGTAAAACAATATTTGTATTTTTACGTTTTTTGCAGTACAAATTGTGAATATGTTTCTGAATTTTACTCACAACCGGGCATTAGTTTAGCAGCTGGTAAAGACTTTACTAGCTACGAGGCTGTTAGGCTAAATATGCTTCAGTTTTGCTTCTTTCTTCTTCTGGTTTCTAACAGTGTTGACTAACAATTTTCCTGTGTAAAGTTTACATTGTTTACTTCTTCACATCACTTTAGCAAAATCAACAGAATGAATGAATAATCGCGTTTCTCAATAATTTTAGGCTTTAATTCTATTTAATGTACAATAAGCAGTCTTTACTCGGTTATCAAAATTATCATATGTCAACGTTATCAAAATATACAATTAGTCAGTGATGACTATATTAATAACTGAAAATAATTTAAATCTATTTATACTTGCTGAAATTTCAGTACAGCATTTAAGTAAAAATTTGAACAATTCTGAACGATAGTCCTAAAATGTTGATAATATAAATTAATATGATACAAGTCAGAATTCCTCAAATTAAAAACATTTCAATGTATGATTTACATTTCTTAAAGTGGACTGATATGACTTTTTGAGGTTGATATTTTTTTTTCATTCTGAATAAAATCAGACATGGTTTCTGTTATATGAATTTGTTTTTTCGGATAGTATTCTAGAATCGTTGTACTTCTTCAAATAAAAAAAAAGAACTTTCTGCTTTAAAATTAAATCATAATAAAGAATTACATTCAGCAAGAAATAAACTAAACGTATTTTCTTTACTAACTGGTTTAGTTTCCTTTAAAATTTGCTTTCCTATTTATCCGTATTTTCTATTCAGTTTTTTATGCGAAACGTATATAGAGCAGGAGTCGACAACCTGGTTTTCGCTGTGGGTCAAAATCAACTAAAATGTGTGTATTAAGAAAACTTTTCGGATCAGAGGTACTCTCATTTTAGAAGTCTTTTTTTTTTTTTGGGAGGGGGGAGAATAATAATATAATTTTATTGAGAAAGTAATTAAAATACGCTTTTAACTTTAAATATAAAAATTAAAATTATAATTAAATTATAATTATTATAAAAGAAACATAACTGAATCAACTATTGGTTCTGTTCCATATCAGTAGTTCTGACGCTGAAATTGTGACGTCGGTTTAGTCAAGTCTGGCTTAGAGTAAGTCATCTTAAGACGAACTCAAGCATCTAAATTTTTGGTAAGTTGATCCTGTTCTACTTAAAATAAATTTCACGTGTGAAAATATTTGCTTGTATTTAGAAGTTAAACCGAATGCGGACAAAATGGCAAAAGCCAATTTTTTGGAACTATGGATTATGGATCGGTGTTGTCAAACTTCTCGATTTCTCTTTGAAATTATATTATAATTTTTATTTTTTAAAAATGAAAATGCATGTTCCTTACTACAACTTTGAAATAAAACAAAAATATTCTGGTTGTTATTTATTTCATTATTTATATTCGGCGTACTTTTTGTATATTTTCAAGTCCTCGTTTCATATTTATCTTTTATAATTTATTTTTGTACATTATACTTTATTTTCGGAACTCAAGTGGGTCACTTGAAATTATGAAATGGGTCACTTAGTGACCCGCGTGTAATAGGCTGCCGAGGCTTGGTGTAGAGTGAAGAGGAAAAAAATTATCTATGAGGAGACAAAAATAATAAATTAATTCTTTCGATGATATTAGCGATTTATTTACAAGAAAACTGCTGCCCGACAGTAATCAGTTGCGAAGATTTACGTTCTGCGAAAATGATGAGAGTAGCGATTTGTTTTGAGTAAATTTGATTTATAAATATTAAAAAGAATCCACCCTTTTGTGTCATCAGACTACAGTCTGCAATTATTGTCAATTAAATTTCATACGAAAGCTCGTGTTGAAATTTAAAAAAAAAGCCAGCTCTCAATTACTGCGAAGCGATTAACCCAGCTTCGTCGAAAAAGATCGAAGTTTATCTATTGCTAAACTACTGAAAAATTATTATCAAAAACCAACAGAATGAAGTAAAATGTATATGGGGAAAAACGAAAAAAGCAGAGGAAAATTGCCTTAGATAACGTTAGAAATAGCAAATTAAAGCAAGCTAGTTTTTTATCCAGAGCATAGTTTTAACTGTATATAATTTGGAGTGTATAAATATTGTTTGATTGTCGGTTTAAAATAAATTGCAGTATCATAAACGTAAATTACGCGTATTAATATCGTATTTTCTATTAAGTTCTATTGAAATTCTAGAGAAATATAAATGAAACATTTTTTTTTCTGATTAGAAATATATTATTGTTGTTTTGGATGCTGATTTAATTTACATAACCAAATAAACTTATTTTTGAAATTCAGTTGCTTAAAATATATGTAAATTGTTAATAATATATTTCTGTTAATTATAATATAGATTAATCTTCTTTCCTGAGCTTTTTAACTGCCGTTGAAATTCACTGTGATTTTGGGTTTACTATAAACTTCATCCTCAGTAATGCCGCTGTTAATCGGCAGTTTACTGTAATTTCAGATTTTTTTCTTTAAATGTGTTATTTATGATCAACTGACGATTTTTATTGAATACAGCGATAAGAATATGAAAGTTGGAAAATAGTTGGGGAAAATACATAATCTTTTATAAACTATTTAGTGAGCAAAAATGGCTATTAGTAGGAGTAACAATAGGAAATGGAATAGATAATGTTAACAACTGTAATTTCTAAAACCAAGTTCATTAAGGTTAAATAGTGTATTTTTACTTAACCATTCCCATCTCTCACAACACTAACAATATCTTGCAACCTCATAGCGTTCCTTAGAGCCTTGGTTTGCTAGAATAAACAGAAAATAATTTCAAACAAATACAAGGGTAAATTTATCAATAAGCTTATACATCATTAATATCAAATTCAAAGCGTCGTCAGCTCCTTACTTTTCGGGTCTCCCACACTGTTGTAGATACTGATAGAATAGATAATATCACCACACAGGTCGCAAACTGATAATAAAACTGTAAATACCATAAAATCACAATGAACGTTTGATACAGATAAAAAGGATTCCGCACCTACAAATAATAAAATAATAAATGCTTATTTGATTATTAAACACTTTAAAACAAAGTTATTCTTTAAAATAATAGTATTAATATATTTCATAAACATATGCAACACAAATAAATCATTATGCAACAAATTAAAAAAAACTATGTTAACTTTTCTGCCCTCAATTTGAGGTTTGAACTCGCTAGAGGGAGTTTGCTCTCTCTCCTTTTCCCCTAATAAGGTATGAATTTGAAATGTGCCTCTGTTAGCAGATAGAAATTGCCGTCTCGAAGCGTCGTGGCTATGTAATCCACCTCTAGCTGTAATATTCTGCTTGTAGTTCCTTTTTATGTTATGTTTAAAAGTAAATATTTTAAAGATAATTTCTTGAATGTTTATTAAGAAAGGAAATTTATAAGCCTGTCACAACTATATTTTAAATTTGGCATATTATCCTGAGAGATTTGGAGGACAATATCGTCAAAATTTTGTACTTTAAAGGTATATTCATAAAGTAATATTTTTCATACTAAAACATATTTGAACATATTTGGTGTTGAATAAATAACATTTGATATAAAATAACATCTCATGTATTAGAATTAAAGATTTTAAATCACTTTTGGAAATATTAAATTGAATCATATAACCGAAATGTAGGTTTTTAGGTATAGTATATTAAGTAAGAACAATAATAAGTTAGGCTTCAAAAATACATTAGTTTTATAGAAAAGGGGTGCGGTTTTCCCACACCAAAATCCTAAAACCGTCTCAATATTGTATAAATTTATGCATTATGTTAACAATTAGAATTAGTTTTGTAATTTAAACGATAATTTTATTATTGTAAGACGTTATGTTCTTTTATGATATCATCATACCTTTTTTTATTCCTTTACTTTAAATAATACGTTAAGCACGTGCACGTTATGATTTACGAAAATAACGTGTATTATAAATTAGATGCTGCTGCATAAAGCTTCTTAGAGTGAAAAGTATAATATCATTTTGTGACAGCACTTGCAAGCACGAATCTGAGAAGAGTAAAATATAATTTAAAAAATCTGAAAGCTTTCAGATTTTAAATTACGCCCGAAATTACGTTTTATTAAAGTTTTGTATGTTACTCTTATTTATTAGCCATCATATTCTTACCACTTAAACCATAAAATACAGCAATATCTATAAAATATTTAAAAAGAGCATATCTTTGGAATTTCCGATACAGTCTCGCCCCCTAGAGATTTTTTTTTTTTTTGTTTCGCACAGTGTTGCCATTGCTCGCTTTGGAATTGTTGAGTTTGTTAATCAAAAATTCGTTAATTTTTTACAAAATATGAAATGGATAATAAAACAAATTCCAAATTCGGGCTTTCAGATGTCCTTATTCGAGTGGAGGACTACGTTATCCAAAATTTGATGTCTCTAGGTACTGTCGTTTTTCACAATGCCGGAAACATACATACACTCATGCAGATTTTTCATTGACTCAGAATTTCTTTAAATATAGTATAGGGCTCTAATATTTAGTGACAACAACTTGAAAAGTGAAACGCTATTTTTTAGTGCCAAACGAAATTAATAGCCGTTCTGGGCAAATTGCGCCTTTGGGCTAATGAAAACTTAACACAGTTTAGCAAGTTACGTATGTGACTAGCTACAATTCGAATTATATATTATTAATTAAAATCGTTAAACTACGGTATTGAACTTTTACTATGTTATAAATTTAAATGATGCTTTTATTCTTCTTATTTTTATTTTTGTCTTGATCAATGTTTAAAATCTGTTCAAGCCTTGCGTATTTATAACGAGATTTTATCATCATAAATATTGACTGATTTTTTTAAAAGACGCAGCAAATTTGTAACGGTTTCTTTATAACAGTGGTTTCTTTTTTGTCCCAAGTACTTCTTCCACCATTGCTAGACACCGTTACCCCCCTTCCTTCCTTTCCAACACTGGAAAAATACATGTAAAGTTTTTTGAATTTAGATTATTTTTAATGTGTCTTATAAATTAAGCAAAAAATGTATAGGAAATGTCGTTTTAATGTGTCTTATAAATTAAACCAAAAAACTATAGGAAATGTTAATAATACCGTAATTTGAACAAAAGTAGTTTTTTATACTCATCAGCTAAAACTAAATGTTGCCTTTGCAGAGCAGTATAGAAGCTCGTAAAATTCCAAAAATTCATGATCATAAAGAGAACACTACTCAAAACCATATTAAATGGCCTCTTATGATGGTGGAGACCCTAAACAATTAGTTACTTTTATGACACGTCGCGAAATTCCTGTACTGTCCATATGGTACAGAGTTTTCTTTCGGAGATAAATTCAACTAAATATTTACCTCGCATGAGAAATAAAAGTTTACGAATTTTTATATCACACTATGTGTCATATCGGGATGCGTAAAGCACTTTAGTTATTGTAGCTTGAAAATGACTCTATTTTAAATTGGGTATCCTTAATTAATGTCTTCTGTTGCTTATGTAAAATGTGACACTATGCAATCTAAGATTTATTATTTATAATCAGTTACATAGAATGTCAGCCTTTACTATAACTCCTCCTTTTTGCTTCCTCACCATAATGTAAATTGAGTTAGGTAGTATTTAAGCCGAGGATTTTGCACTGTAAGACAGAGCGGATTTCTGCGGCTTGTGGCCACGTTATGTAGTTGCTACCAACTCTGACAAGTTTGTAATTGTTCGGATTTGTGTTCTGCAGACGTTTAAATTTGATACGCCAGTTAGAGTTTTTGAGCCAGTTTAGAATTAACATTAACTGTGTAGTTTTTGACTACTAGTCTACGCTTTAAATTTGAATTTGATTGTTACTTTAATTGCATTTCCACAAGCGATGATTGATTCTGTTAACACAAGAAGTGCATTTATGTTTTAGTTCTGTTAAATAAAAACGTTTGTTTGAACCTTTCAAGTCTGTTACTTCAGACACAGCGATAATTCGTTTTACATCTATTAGAAATTTGAACCTAGTTTATGTTTCCAAACAAAGCCAAACTCTACTGTTATTTAAAGAGAATAGAAAAGGTTAATATAATGTTAAGAATTTAGAGGTCATGAATAAATGATAAGTACTGTTCTAATTTAGTTAAAAGCAATTATATTAAGTCTTTGCTCGTTAAATTTCTAACATATCGATATTATTAAAAACCTGTTGCACATAACTGATTAAATGCAACCAAATTCACGCATAAAAATTATTTTTATTGCAAGAAATCCATTAAGATAACAGTTTTATTAGATATATTTATGCATTAACAGTCATTAACTGTTGTAATTCTTATCGTTAGCATCAGAAAAACGTGTTATGGTTAAATAGCTATAGATAAATGTCATATTGCCATAAATAATTGACTTTATTTATCTGTAGCAATATATTTACTTAATATTTTGCTAGAAATAGCTATATCTATAGATATTTAACCATAGCACATTTTTCTGATGCTAATGATAAGAATTACAACAGTTAATGACTGTTAATGCATAAATATAGCTAATGAAATTGTAATCTTAATGGATTTCTTGCAATAAAAATAATCTTTTATGCTTGAATTTGGTTGCACTTAAACATTTATGTACAACAGGTTTACTTCTCTTAGAACAGAGTACAGAGTGCTTACTTCTCTTAAAACTAACGTAACAACCGGCTTCACATCAATATCGATGGAGTTCTTGCCATGATATCTTAATAGACTAGTGGCTTCTTTGGAAGATAAACCGTTTTTGAAAGCATAGAACTCCGAACAATTTTGAATCTCCAGTCCACTGGAAAATAAAGAAATATTTCCAATTATTTGAATCGAATGGACTTGAAATGTGCAATCGCTATCAAAAACAAATATTTTTAAAACTTGAACTCACATATTTAACCATTTAAAATGACACATTCACAAATTTAATTGCACACATTTTCGAATATGAAAATAACAGAAAACTTCAGTGCACTGTAAATAATAGATACGGCAATCTGCATATTAAAGTAGTATCCTACTATATTAGAATATATCCAAACTATGTATAAAAATTACACCATATTGACAACGATGCATATGTCAGTATATGCACGAAAATGCTTTCGATTTCCATTTCAAATTATGAGATAGAACGAGCAGTTTAAATAGTATACGTAGTTCTTAAGAATATTATTACTGTTTATATAATTAGAATAATAATATACTTTCATAAAACCATGCATGATGGATATCTATTAAACAAATTTTTCTTAACCTTGTCATATACACTTTGAAAAGTTTTGGATGGCAAAGCGTTTTAGTAACATGTTACCATTTGTATGTAGATATACAGGGGTTGGACAAAAATATGGAAACACCTTTAAAAACATGTTTCTTTGCTTAATATGGTGTAGGAAACCCGTTGGCATCCAAAATAGCTTGCAGTCTTCTCGGAATGGATAAATACAGTTCCTGTATGTTTGCCAAAAGAATATTATACCATTCTTCCTGCAAAACGGTGGCAAGTTCAGATAACAATGTTGGCGGTGATAAGGAGAACGCACTTTCCGTTCCAATGTAGACCACAAAGGTTCGATAATATTCAGGTCTGGTGACTGTGGTGGTCAGGGGAGATGGGACAACTCATCCTCGTGCTCAGAAAACCAGTCCTGGACAATGTGAGCTGTGTGAACAGGGGCTTTGTCGTCTTGGAAGACACCATCACCATCGGGGAACAAAGTTTGTACCATGGGATGAACTTGATCGGCCAAAATGTTCACATAAGTCTTGGCAGTCATGTGCCCTGACACAGTTATTATGGGGCTAGCAGAGAACTACGATATGGCGGCCCAAACCATAACAGAACCCCCGCCATGTTTCACTCTTGGCAACAAGCAGTCTGTATTATAGGCTTGAGATGACGTTCTCCAGACGTAAACTCGGCCAGAAGTGGGAAACAATGTGAAGAAGACTCGTCAGACCATATTATACTCTCGCTTCCACTGCTCTATAGTCCAGGCTTTATGACTTAAACACCACCTTTTTCCTTTCCTGTTACAGGCATTAGCATCACTTATGAGTGGCTTCTCAATTGCAGCACGGCCAGCAATTCCCTGTTTATGAAGCTCCCTTCTAATTGTTTTGGTACTCACAGGGTTCGGTAACACAACATTCATTTCAGCAGTAACTTTTGCAGCTGTGGTCTTCTTATTTTTCGTCACAATTGCCCTTAATGATCGTCTGTCACGATCACTCAGGACACACTTTCGTCCGCGCTGTGATTTAGCAGATGATGTTTTTCCGCTTTTCAAATATGCGGAATAAATCTTCGATACAGTACCTCTTGAAACACTAAACACCTCGGCTACCTTGCTTACAGAAGCACCTACCATACGTGCTCCAACAATTTGCCCACGTTCGAAGTCTGTTAACTCTGACATAATGCAATCACAACCTCACATAACAGTACTCCGACAACAACTGAACTGTTTAGCACATTTACGAAGTTGTATAGGTGGCGTCAGTAGTCAAAAACGCCAGAGCCACCTACATATTTCATTAAAATCAATCTTTCTTTTCAAACATGCATTTCACAAAGTGTTTCAATATTTTTGTCCATCCACTGTATATTTCATATATATATACACGGCGTTCTCTTTTGGATGCTTAGCAGTAGCATAGTAACTGTAGGTCAAGATATTAGAATGGCTGTAGTATTATTAGCACAAAAGGGAAACACACTTTTGCGCTGTTTAATTTTAATTCATTGTTTAACTTTTCGAGTCTGGTGCCATTAAAAAATATAAGATATTAATACTTCATATTTAATCTGTCTGTTATTTATTAACGACCTAAATTATTCAAAAGCGATAGATGCATAGCTTAAAACTACTCTTTTTTAGTTTTCAATCTGTTTGATTTAAATAATAATGCTTTAGTTTATGATATATATATAATTAAAAACATTAAATATTTTTATAGACATTACTTACTTTTTCACCTTTTAAATATACAGAAAAGATATACTGTTCCCATGTTTGTAATGCATATTCGTCTAATATTCTATAAAATGTTTTGCTGTTCCATTTGGGCCATCTCTACCGATAATCCCTCCTGATAAACGATATTAAACTTTAAACGAGCTATTTCTGGGCGATCGTTAAAATCGGAATCTTTTCAAATTTTGTTATATTTAAAATTTTATTTCTTAAACTCATTCTTCCTTAAGTAGAAAAATTAACATAGTGACAATTTACTGTAAATTATTTCGAAAATTCCAATAACCTGGAGAGGGGGAAATTCGCTAACATGAAAAAAAAATTCATAACAATAAAAACGTATGTGAGAAGCCATTATTTTTAAATTCGAATTACATTACCTATCTACCCAATGTATACATGCCAATGATGCCATATTCATAAAAAATAACAACGAATGCTAAATCCGAAGAAGCAGAATATGATAAAAGAAGACAATAAGAAAATAATGGAGACGAATTAGATGCTGGACTTTCAGTATTTAAGTATCTTCGCTACAACCAGCTGAAACATAAGGAAACTATGCCATAACTATGCAGCTGAAACTCAGTCATTCTATATGTGCATAATGTGAACATTGCCAATTCACAATATGTAATCTCCATCAAAAAACATATATCAGCAACCGAGAGACATAAAGGAGGAAAAAGGAAAGTTCAAAGAAAACTCGTCAAAAGAGTTAAATTGAAATAACATAAGCGTTTGGGCTCTTCGACCTAGACACAACGCACCACTCTATAAAGGCCGTAAATTACAGACTATATGATGAAAATGCTGTTGCAAGTGTTCAGACAGCACTTTTAACCAAATGTTCGTGAATTTTGCAATGACCAATGTTTTCCGGAAGGAAGACTAGACTCTTAAATGTAAAACAAAATCCCTAAATGTAGTAAAATTCGTTCATGTTGCTCTAAAAGAATAGTAGAACAAACGTGCTTTATTCCCTTTCCTTACACCGAGGGAGTTTTCACATTTTTAGAACAGCGGCGATAAAGAATTTGGAAAAAGCAAATGTGTTCGATTACAAATTTCTGGTAGCAGCTTGTTATTTTAAAGTAGAAATATGGTTTTCTACTTTTAAATTTATGTTTTTTTCACAATGTCGTATGTAAACAAGCTGTAGATTCAAGGATGTGTGTTTGTTCTTTTCGAAGAAAAATATTCCTGTGCCGTAAGTCAAAAACCTCGTAAAATGCATGCTATTAAAATGTCTAAGTTCAGAATAAGGAACATTATTAATCAGAAGGGGAAAAACTGTCAATCATTATTTCTACATTGAAAGAAGACTCCAAATGAATACTCAAAAGCTATGTACTGTTTTTTTACATTTTTTAAGATAAATCCTAGCAAGAAGAGAAAAATCCCTCGATGCAGAATTCAATGACAAAGTCTTTACATCTGTAGCAACAGTAAATAAAAAAACAAAGATTCAAAACTTAAAAAAGCTAAAAACATAATGTTCACGAGCTTTAGCCGAGGCATGTGATTTAACATAGAATTTGTAGAACCCTGTATGAAAATGTTTAGCAGGAGACAAGTGGAAAATATATTTTGACCCTTGATGATGCATGATTTTACCTAAATGACTGCAACAAAAAAGGTCTATTTATAATCTAAAACGAAGAGAAAAAATTTATAAACCTGATTCTATCAATGCAAAGAAAGTTTTAGTAAGAGATTTATCATTCTCTTAGAATGAGAACCTTCAAAATAAGAAGAGTGTAAAAAATGCTAAAATGAACTCAATGTACATTCAAGAGAAAGTTTTACGTCCTATAGTTACAGAAGAAATTCCATTTGTCCACCCCAGTGACTTTTAAAGAGTGAAATTTCCTAAGGACAAAGCAACGAGTTGTATTTCGAAAAGCACCATGGCGGTTCCTTGAAAAAATGATGAAATTCCTTGAAAGATAGCTACTGATATTGCACATATACCCTTTTAACGTATTCCTGAAAAATTCCTGGACGTTTCACCTGCTACGCTTTTGGTCTCTTGAATAGAGCTCTTTCTGAGTTTAAACCCACAACGACTGATGGACTGTTAAAGTAGCAGAAGACTAGAGAACTAATGGAAATCAATCCCCTAGAAATTTTACGAAAAGTCTTCCATCACGGAAAACACAAGTCTTATAGTCCACAAGAAAAGCTATGAGATCGAGTATTGAAAAAATACTACTTGCATTTTACATAATAATATTTCCAATTGAATATATGTGGAATGTTTAGTAGTAATGTATGACCCATTTCGCATTGTTATCACAAATTGCATCAATTTGTGATCAGTAATGAAGAAAAACATTTAAATGCATGCCAAAGCTCTTAACATTTTAGTGTTATTTCTCCATTCAGTTTCCTTTCCAATTAAAACGTTTGTCATATGTCGCCATCTGTGGTAGGATTTTGTCACAGCACTTTGCTGTCGGCCTCTTAAACTAGTTCGTTGCATATTTTGAAGGAAATCGCCATGCTTCTCTTCTTCCTTTACCCTTTCCATCTTATAAATACATTCATTCTTCTTAAAACTACGGTTACCATCTGCGCAAAGCAATATTACTCTCAGGCAGTTTTATGGATAGGTGTTCATTTTTCAATGAAATGTAGGTATATTTTTGCCTTTAGCTCAAAGAAATGGAATAATAAAGCGGGCCTAGGACTTTGAGCGTTAATTGTACTAGACATTTTAGCAAGCGCACTGAGCAAACAGATTAATTGGAATGAAGATTTACTAGAATAATGCATAATTTATTACATGACAAATTTTTATATGTATTAAAACTTTTCCTTTAAGCCCAAGCTCTTCAGAATTTAACTAGATAACGGTCTTTGTATTTCATATGATTTTCGCAGAAATCAGCAAGCAAATACATGATGAAGTGAGGTAAGAGATTCGATACAATACATCCTTTTAAGTTAGAAGGGAAAGGATATGCTGATTTCAAATTCATACCAAAATGTTTTCTCTGTAATTCACTTAATTTTATTGTTTTAATAAAATTACTAGTTTCTAAAGAAGAAGAAATTAATATTTACTAAAGAGGAGACTAAACAGCTATTGAACACTATATTCGCATTTTTCATTATTACAAAATTAGAACAGAATTTTGAAAAATATCTGGAATAATGTCATGCAATATTGCAAAGCAAGAAACAAGAATTAAATCGAAGCGAAAGTGGCAGTCAAGAAGAACAAAAAATTTCTTTTGATAACAACTTTAAATCAAATATTATTTCAAATTTTCTTTTGATTTATTTCAAATTTTCTTTTTCTTATTTCAAATTTTCTTTTGATAACAAATTTAATTACTGTTCTTGCTTTGAAGGAGAAATTTCCTTATTTTTATAACAGCAGTTTTTTATTAATGTATCTAGTTTGTATGAGGTATTTGTTCTAAATTACCATATTTAGTTTTCTCTATCTGTAGCATGTATACGAGCCAGTTTCCCTTAAAAGATCCTCCACGAAGGCATCTCTCCCCTTAGGCAGATAGCCCTTGAGGCTTTGCCGTAAGCATATAACTCAAACGAAATCCATATTTAGAACAAATACGAGTTTATACTTACCCAACTTTGACGAAATTATATTGTTTTGGATCCCATACGTATTTCATCTTTTTATTGTAGAAGAAGATTGATGGATTATCACTTGACCTTGATACTGTTTCGACATGGTACTGGTTATAAGAATCCTAGAATAATTTAAATTTTGCAAATACATTAGTTAAAAAGATGTTAATTATTAAATAAAAACTATTTCGTGACTTCTCATATAATTGAAACAATTCACGTTGTTGGGGATATACGTAAAATATATTTGTGCACTGTTAAGTGTCAAAACAAACCGTAATATTTCATTCAACCAATGTACGAAACGTTAGATATAAATCGGTTATTAGAATAAAGAAGACAGCAAGAAATAAAACGTTTGGTAAAAGAATTTTTTAAGATAAACATCATGATTTTCTAAGTGTACTATGATTTTTATCCAAGAAAAAAAAAGAAGTTACTGTTCGTAACATCTCTAATAATATTCTTTTAATGCAATAGGGATATCGGGTGTCGCAGCAATAATTATATCGCAAAGTCCTATAATACTCACAGCCAAAAAAAATCAAGAGCCGGAGTATTTTGTGCAGTACTGAAAAAAAAAAAAAATACTTCAGATTTTGGTGACGATATGTCGAAATAAAAGTCTTATGCATACAAATAAGGTACTGTATGAAAGTAAAGTTTGAAAATAATGCAAAGTCATACTTTTATTGCTTTATATTTTCCTACCAGACGTCAGAATGGGATATAACTATCACTTCCAATACCATCTAAACAGTATATAAGGTATTTCTCCCACTTTCCAAGCGACCTTCGTGGTGTAGTGGTTCTGCACACTGGGCCAGTATTCCAGAGGTCCGTGATTCGATTCCCGGCGAAGGCGGTTCTCTCTGGCTTCCAAAAAATCCTAATGTCTCTACAAGTATACGTCTTTTAACCTAGTCTTAGACAAGCGGTAAACTATCAGTGTCTTAAGTATTTAGTCTCGAAAGTAAAAATAAATTTAGTTGTAGCAGTTGATTTGAATATGGTCTTCATGTACATGAAAATTCTCTTTACGTTATTGGTAGTTTTAAGGGAAGTCTTTAGTTATAAACGAAGTATTATTGTACGAACATCTTACAAAGGCTTTTCCTATATTAATTTTTTTTAATTTTATTTTACAATTTTTTGTGAGAGATATTAATAGGAACACTGCATAGAGTAAGAAATTAATATTCACTCAGTTTGTTTCTAGAAGTTGAACTCTCTATACTACTACTACTGTATCTAGATGTCGCGCAATATACGTTTGTAAATTTCTGTAAAGTGTTTTTGCAATGTGTACTATTATAAGTGTAGGTTCTGCTGTAAAGTAATATGAGTTTCTGAAATAATGTAAAAAATATGTGCTGGGCCACAACGGCTACAATATCTTACAATGTTATTTCTTGTATCTGACAAAGCTAGTCATGCGGGGACGCAAGAAAATAACACCTAACTTCTTACCAGAACGATGGTGTCTCCGTCTCCCGTCAACTGTATTATGAACAGCTGATCATGGAATAATGTTTTCGGATAGATCTTGGGCTCACTTATGGCTAAGTGGTTTAAGGCGATAATTCTGCGAGTGTTGAACATAGTGGCCGCGGGAAATTTCCCTCATTACCCTCATGTGTGACATGAGGAATTTCCCTCATTATACTCTTCGAAATTAGTATTCATTGCAGTATTCTACTGCTTCGAAAGTTCGTGAACGGATATCACGATTCAGAATTTAAGTCATAGTAGATTGGGTGAGGGTTTCCTTTCCATTATAGATATCTTCACTCTCTATACATAGCTTTCAGAGACGCAGTACCATATCGAACATAAGTTGCAGACTATTTTCTGTGAGTCGATGCAAGAAGGCTTTCATTTACTGATTCATGGTAACTTTCTCCATCTTATATCTTTCTTGATTATTTGAAATTCTTAGAAATTCTATGCTGCGAATTGTGGGCTTATGGAAAAACGTCTAATTAACCGGCCAATTTTTATCAAAGCTTCTGTAGCCTATCGTACCCATATAACCAATGCTAACCTTGTAGGGTTTATATTTATTTTAACTAACATTTATTTTAAGTTTAAACTATCTTTCCTGTTAAGCCTTACTTTCCCCTGGAATTGCCAATGCCAGAGTATGTAAATTTTAGTAGAACGCGCAAAGTATTCAAATTTTAAGCAGAAATAATTTGAGTTAAATAAAAAGGAAACTAGTTCGTAAGTGTGCTTTCTTGCTTCACGAGCGTGAAGGTAGCTATGTAGAAATTGAAGAACCGCGCGTTTCGGCCTGTGTGCTTGCCTCGGCAGATAGTTAAATCTTTCAACTTAATATTCAGAAGTTTGCTGAAATATCAGCTGTATCTTAGAACGCGGTTAGGTTAGTTACGTTTAGAGAGACTCGTAGGTAGTAACTTGTTATTATTCATTTTTAGTTTCTTATTTTTATTTTACCGCCGGGTCGGCGTAGTTTGTGAGCGTCAAGTGCACGCATCTGTAACATCTAAAGTAGAATAAAAAGGGATTCAAACCCTTCTTAAGAGTTTTGTGTACTTTCCAGTTCATAGCAGTCACTATTATTGTTGAGTGTAGGTTGGAAGCCGCGCAACACCACATTGGCGCCCGAACACTTGTCGAACTGAAATGGCCGAAAATTGGATGGAAGCTTTCTGGACAAGTCCAACAACAAGAAATGGCAAGCCAATTGGAAGGATTTGGATACCTGGTCCAGACGATGAGAGCGTCAATCAAGCCAAACGTCAATTTCGACGGAAAAAATTCGGTGGCAATATTTTTAGAAGTCCCTCGAAATCATTTCCAGCTCTACCCTGTGCCTGAAAGACAAAAAGTTGCCATCGCCACATCTGCACTAAGAGGACAGGGCCGCTATGGTGGAAGAATATAGGCAAATTTTTATTAGGGGAATTCGGAGGCCAAACATATATCTTTGAAAATTTCAAAAAATCATTATTAAAGGCCTTCCCCGTAGTGAAAGACCGAGCAAAGCTAGAAGCCGAACTATATAGTTTTTATCAACGGAATATAGAAGAGTTGACGGACTTTATTCTGCGAAAAATTAAGCTGACGGATATGCTGTATGGGAAGAAACCCGAACGCGGAGATTATTGAAATATCTTACCAAGATTGATTGCTACCTGCTGTTCAAGATTACTTCGAAATTAGAAACCCAAGCACATTGCAGGAACTCTTCGAATTGGCGGTCAAGTTCCAAAATCGTAGAATAGCGGAAAAAAGCTAGAGGGGGCATCGTATTCTCAAGGTCTCCGAAGGCAATCTCCGTAAGGCAATCTTCAAATGAGCAGACCAGAAACGCAAATTGCTCTTATGGGGGAAAAGAGCTATCAAGCTAACTCATCGAAGCTCGAAGGTCAAGGCCCAAAAAGGAAATTTGAAAACAACCGTCCGCGTACCCAGAAGGCAGAAGTTGAAAGGAAAGCTTTAAACGAGTAGAGGGGCCTGTAAAAGCGAGGGTCCAGACCCCGGAAGTTTCGAAAAAACCCTCAAGAAGATACTTAAATACGGTCGTCGTAAAAAACTCACAATTACCGATTATACAAGTCCTGGTTGGCGATGTACCAGTAGAAGCCCTCATCGATACAGGAGCAGAAGGTAATTTTATGAGTGATATTTTTTTAAGAAGAATTTTAATAGGTTACGATTATTTAAAAATAAAACACAGAAATCATAGCAGCGCAAGGACAAACTTGTCAATGTATTGGAAAATTATCATTTAAAAATACAGGTTTAAAAAAAAGCCTTAAAGTATTAATTTTTGTAGTAAAAAATTTGCAAAGTCCACTTATTTTAGGTATGGAAGTTTTTAAAAGCCGCGAAGGCCAAACTGAATTTTCAGGAAAGTTCTATTGTGCTGGAGATGGATCGGAGGGTGGTGGAGCCAGTGGAACAACCGCAAGTCGACCTTAGCCATTTGAATGACCATGAAAGTCCAAGCCATCCAGCAAGTGGTGAGTACTTTTTCAAACTTGTTTTCAGAACGGCCTGGTAACTGTCAAATTGTTACGCATGATATACAGTTAACTGCCGACAAACCTGTAGGACTAAACCTTACCGCTATGATAAACAGAAAGAACAAATCATCAGAAGAACACATTCAGGAAATGTTAAAGAACCAAATAATAACGCCCATAAATAGTGAGTACGCGAGTCCAGTCGTACTATGTAGGAAAAAATGAACGATTTCCTCCTTCGGATAAAAGGGCTTGGAGGTTTGCTATCGATTACAGAAAGCTTAATAGTGTTACTAAATTCCCAGTTTACCCTTTGCCGGTTATAGAGGAAATTATTAGAAAGATTAAGTCTACGAGATACATGACTACGTTGGACTTAAACGTCTGGCTACTATCAAATAGCTATGAGACCCGAAGACATACATAAAATCGCGTTTATAGCAAAATCGGGCACTTATGCATTTTTACGCATGTCCTTTGGGTTTGTGTGGGCCCCGTCAACATTCCAGAGAGCTATAGACATTGTTCTAAAGACTGTCCTAGGAAAATCGACTTTAATCTATCTAGATGATATAATTATAACGAGTAGTACGTTGGAACAACATATTAAAGACTTAGAAGAAGTTTTTAAATTATTAAAAGAGGCCGGTCTTACAATTAACGCCTCAAAAATGCAAGTTCGCAACTAAAGAACTTAAATATCTGGGTTATAAAATTTCGCAAAAGGGTATAGAAACTCAAGATTCAAAAATAAAAGCCATCAAGAATTTCCCATTTCCTCCCAACACCGCCAAGAAACTTTCTTCTTTCCTTGGGTTATGTTCTTATTATCGGTCGTTCATAAAAGATTTTGCTAATATTGTTGAACCCTTGTTAGTAATTAAAAGAAAGAAAAGTAAATTCACGTGGACAGCAGAAGCAAATACCGCATTTGAAAGGTTAAAAGAAGCGCTCATCAATGCCCCTGTTTTGAAATTCCCGGAGGGGGACGAAAACCTGGAAATTGCAGCAGATGCGTCGGACTATGCTGTAGGTGCTGTTCTCATGCAAAATGGCCATCCTTTGGCATTTTTTAGTAAAACTTTGAACCCTACGCAAAGGAATTATACAGCTACAGAGAGAGAAACATT